GGCGCCAGAAAATTAATTACAATTTTTTGAATGGAAAACCATTGAATGCCACGGGGAGGAAATGGATGAGAGGAGCAGCAATCAAATCAAATTATTTTTCATTGCAACTCAATAGGGGAAAATGCAAACGAAAACGAAAATGAAAACGAAAAGGAGAAAAAAGGGCAGTCGGAGGAAAATAAACTCGGGGATATTATGCAAGCCGCGCTGGGCTGAAGGAAAAACCCCGGAAAATGTTCCACAATAATGCCAAGTTGGACTGGGTTTGCAGCCATAATTAAGAGTGTCCTCGCTGCCTGTCATTTTCAGCCATTGTTTCGCATCCTTCGCGGAATTCCTTCGAATGCGAATCGACAGCTGTCCTCGTCTTTCTCTGCCATAGCGCTCTTTATAAATGAATTTTTCATTAAAACACAGTCGCAAATTATTTAGTTCCATGTTTGGGCATTAATTTACATAATTTAAAGTTAAACTTTTGCCTGCACAACAGTTTTCAATTGCCGCTTGTTGCGTGTCCCTCCATGACTCCTTCTCTTTCCCATCGCTTTTCCTTTTTCATGAATGAATTTTTTGGCGCCATTTTCAAGGCGCAGACTCCAGCGAGAGAGAGAGAGAGAGTCGTTGCCGGTTGAAGGCAGAGATTGAATGAGGCAGCATCCTCGATTGAACAAGGATGCCGCCCCGTTCAATCTACAAAAGCAGCGGCAATCCTTCGACTACCAACAGTTGCGGTCTGGAGCTCGTCGCTGGCGTGTGTCTTGTCGTGTCGCGGGAAAAGTGTCCCGGGAAAACCCCGAAAATCTCGTTTTGTGTGGAAATTGCCAAAGTAAATGAAACAAATTAAATTATGGCTTAAATGATGTCTACGAAAGAGGCCAATAAATTGTCATTTTGTGTGCGTGCAAATGTCTCCTAGTGTTGGTGTGTCCCTGTGTCGTATACGCAATATTTATGAATGCAATTTCCTCGACTGAGCAGAGACAATATCGGTTCCAAGATTATTCCCAGCATCTGGCTTAGAACCGGATCTGCATTGTCTAAGCTAATCCCTGTGGAAATCCCCCAAAAAGCGATGGCTACTCTACAGATATATATGTAGATATATATTGGCTGCATAACAAATCGCATCAGGCATTCTGACAGGAGGAGTCCACTTTCCATATACATATATAACACCCTCTCAGCACTGGTTTTTCTTCCATTTTTTTCACCAGTTTTTCCAGCAGCTTGCAGTTTACACACGAAATCAGCATTACAAATGCAGTCCATAGCCAGAGTCAGAGCTCCGGCTCGAGCCAGAGAGCCAGCATTTTGCATAATTTATGTCAAGCATGAAAATAACAACTAAAAAAGCGGGTGGAAGGATCTCCCCCTTTCCTTTCCTCTCCCCCACCCGCCGGCCATAAATAAGTGCAGGTTTAAATACCACGGCAACAATTGTGAAATATGGCAGAATAATAGAAAGAACCGTAGTACCACTGGGAACCAAATATTCTCATATATGTTACATATACACAAATGCACTTGGGGAAAAATATATGTGCTAAAGGGGGAAAGAGATTTTAAATTAAGCAGAAAAAAGTGGGCCACAAAAAATGGCTATGAATTTTAAATACCATTTTTTGTGGCCTTTTTTTTGGTGTTGTTGAAAAATTATAAAATAAATCAAGTTGGAAGGGAATTATCAACTGCAATTTAAATTCATGACATGTTTTTGGCTTTAAATAACTCTAAGGATATGCTTCGAGTTTATTAATTTAGAATTTGAATTTAAAATCAAAAGAATTGTTCTTTTTTTGCATATTTAAAACGATGAAAGAGGGGTTTAAATTAAAAATCACATAAAATCATGAGCTCAAACTTTAGTTCTAAGGGTTTCTTAGGTTGTATATTTAAGTTTAATTATTTGAAAATTAAATTGAAATTTATTAAGTTTATAATTCAATTTTTATGTTTTAAACTTTTAAAATACTTTAATATATGTGAATATAAATTGTTAGCCATTCCAAGTTTATGAAGACTCCTAAGTCTTTAAATAATACCTTAACTCTTTTACAAACTAAAATAATTAGCTACCATAACTATAGTTATTGAAGATTTAAATAGCACTAACATCATGTTTTAAGTTCATTTATTTAAAAGTTTCATTAATATTTGGTTAATTGTCCATAAATAAATACTAAACTTTAAATTAAATGCCCATATTCCCACTTTAAATAATTAAATTAGGCACAAACTAAGCTGCCATTATTTATAAAAGGATAATCTGGCTTAATTGAAGGCTTAATTATAATTTCAACCACATATGGATGGAGCGTGCTCTCTTCCTCTCTCCGCTTTCAAAGTTCAAATCAATTGAAAAACAAATCCAATTAAATCCTATATATTCCCCTGGTGTCTCTTCAGTGTTTCAATAATTCAATGTTCCAAAAACCAGAGCTAAACGAAAGAGAGAGTGAACGGCTTCAAGAACATCAAGCTTAATCAATTATTTTAAGCCAACACACACAACACACAAGTTCTTGTTGCGGATTAGTTTCCCAGTTTGTCTAAGGAATTTCCATATTTTTCTTGCTTTTCCTGCCAGTGCATATATCTTGATATATATATATGGATATAAACATGCAAAATGTATACAAAATATATACAAAATCTACACAAATATGAGTTGTAGTTACACGAGTAGCCGACAAGTCGAGCGGGCAAGCGGGTTAAGCGAAGGCAAAGGAGCTCGGCGACCGGGGCAAATGTCAACTGTAGCTGCATCAAGGGGTTAAGAGGGAGGGGTTAATGGGGGAACCCCCCAAAGGGGGCTTAGTACGAACCAAGAAAAATAACAACAAAAAATGGGCCAAAAAGTTATTTTAAGCGAACAGCGAAAAGCGTGCGACAAGAATGAAAGAGCAGAAAGAAAAGCCTTAAAAAGAAAAGCGTTCATAAAGAGGCTGCTGCTGCTTCTGGGTGGGTAGAGGGGGGTACAGGGGGGGATGCTGCTGCTGGGGGAATGTTGCAAGTTGGTAATCTCGAAACAATTATGCATACGCGCGCATACAGAGGGAAAAAAGCGGCAACAATAACCAAAACGTTCACTGGAAATCTGTGGCGCGTGAGCAGCGGAGACAAAACAAAAATATATATAAAATAAAACAAGAAAGTAGCCCAAAAGCCCGCAATGAAAGCGCAAAATGTTTGGCCATTAGCATAAAAAATAATGGCCACACACACACAACACACAACAAAACATTGGCCACGATGGCTACTGAGGAAAATGGGGAAAATACATTGGAGGAGCACGTAGGCGGAGGGAGTCTCTGGGGGCATGCCCTCGTGTCCATTTCATCGAAGACTTCATCTTAATCCTTTTCCAACCAAACCAATTGGCGTGAAAATGCCTTTCTCTTGTGGGGAGGAGGGACTATACAGCCAGTATTTTCGATTTTCCAGGCAGGCATTTAGGGTTTTCCCCCTCACATAAAGAAAAATTAAGGTTTTTAAAGAGTTTTCTCTCTTATAAATTCTATTTCTTTTGCTTCTTAAAAGTATATGATAAAAATTAACGAATGAAAATATATATTAAATTATAAAAAGTAAACATAAATTGCTGAATTTTTAAAAGATAAGATAAAAAGAAGCTTAAAACGATGTGGAGGAAACATTTTCGATCCTATAAATCATATATATTCTTGATCAGGATGAAAAGACGAATCGATCTAGGCATCTCCGGTAGAAACAATTTTATTTTTAATTTTTAACAAAATTTTTTCAACTTAAAATTTAAACAAATTAATAAAAAAAGTAATTTTTTTACATTTTAAACAGAGTATGCAAATTTATTAACCTATAAAAAACAAGCACAGGACTGACTTTCAAATTGAAATTGATGCTTTTTTGGCTATGTTATGAGTTTTTAAACTTAGCTTTATTCAAGAAATTGTCTTATAAAATGACAATAAATATCATTTAGAAGAATGTGAATATTTTAGCTTAGTTATTACAGATTTTCGATACGATCCTGTTCAATTTAATTGTAAACGGCAACGGTGTACAAACTTCTGCGTGCCGAAGAAAGCACAGATTCTGGATTAAATTCTATTTTTTTATCAATTACAGTCCCAAAATATTACGTATACGCACAGGTGTAGTTATTCCCTTTCAGGGTATTATAATTTCAGTTAGAAGCTTAAAACGCAGTGAAGGTATTATTTCCGACCCTATAAATTATATATATTCTTTATCAGCATGAAAAGCCGAATCGATCTAGCCATGTTCTAAGTAAAAAAAAATGTTGACCATTTTTTCCATTTTTGTTGCTTAAAAATTGACATTTTTGAAATATGAAAATTTGACAAAATTTAAATTTGCTTTAAAGTTAAAACTGAATATGCAGATTTATTAACCTAATAAAAACTAATACAGAACAACTTTCTGAATTGAAATTAATGCTTTTTTGGCTTAGTTATAAGATTTTTAATTTTGATTGGTATACTTATTTAAAGAATTCGAATATATTAAGCTTAGTTATGATCGATTTAGGTTAGAATAAATTTTAATACTCACATACTTTATATATTATGTTTATATACCGGAAAACTCGCTTTCCTTTGAGTGTACCTAATAGCCAAAAGTCTGCCAGCACATATTTCTCCATCATCATATTTTCAAATTTAATTTGAGCAAGAAATTCAGCTGAAATATATTGCAAAAGAGGATTTCCTTGGCTTTACCACAAAATTTATTATTAATTTCAATTTCAAACAATCAATCAATCTTAAAAAAATTAAACATAAAATTAAGTGTTTCAATATAAAATATGTGTGTTCGTGATGCTAAAAACCTTTCAATAAGTGATAATTAAATGAAAAACATAACCAATATTTCTAATAACAAACTAAACAAGTAAAAACCAATCAAAACTCCGGCGTGAACTTACAAATTTACCGAAATTCACCATAAAATATAACCAAATTATCTTACTTACAATTTTTTCTATCCCAAAAAAGGCTTGACTATAAAATAGACAAAATATTGAATAAAAATACCTACTTAACTTGGATGAATCACAACAGCCATTTATCGTAAGGTGTAATTTTTCTCCGTGTCACCCAATTCTGTCCCGTCAATCGTCCTCCATTCCCAGCACATTGCATACTTTTATGGCCACGTCCTTGACGGGATAAGAGGATGAGGATGAGTGTGTTGTGTGCTGTGTGTGTGTGTGTTTGAGAGGCAAAAAAGATACAAAATGCGAGCAAAAGTGAGGCCAATAAAAAGGCGATAAAATTGACGCCGATACAGGAGCAGGAGCAGGAGCAGAAGGAGGAGCAGGAGTGAAGGAAAGGAGGAAGCGATAAGCGTATCCTGTCGGCAGAGTGCATAAAAAGGCGATATATATTCCCGTATTCCGTATTCCGTGTCCGGTGTCCTGTGTCCTGTGTCCCGTGTCCTGTGTCCTGTGTCCTCGCTGCAGCCTCCGATAGCCAACGATTCAAATGCCTTGCGGTGATTAATGGGCCAGTGGCCATTGCCGACGGGATGCGCATAATTCACCTGACCAGATACGGCCCCTGCCAATGGCTGGCCCTGGGTTTGGGCCTATTCCTGGCCCTGGCCTGGACCACGGTAGCGGCGGCAGCCATGGAATCCTCGGCCGAGCTGCAGGCACTCGGCTACAATGAGGCAATTAAGGTGCCAGGTGCCTCAATTAGCACCGAACGACCGAAATCCAGAGAAGGTATAAGAGCAGCAGGAGCAGCAGGAGCAGGAGCAGGAGCAGAAGGAGGAGCAGGAGCAGCAGGAGCAGCACAACATCCCCACGAGAGGCCTTTGGCCCAACGCTCCGAATGGAAACACAAACGGACGAAAGTCAAGCGCCGTCAGCAGCGCCTCAATTCGCAGCACAGCAATCTTCCCGGGAGCAGTGCCAATGCCTCCTCCTCTCATTACCATCACAACTACTACAATGGCAACTACAATCCCCTGCCGGCAAACTTGCCGCCCAGGCAGCGTTACCTGAAGGTCAACCAGGTGTTCGAGAGCGAGCGCCGCATGTCCCCCGACGAGATGGAGCGCAATCATGGCAAGATTGTCCTGCTCGGCCTCTTTGAGCTCTCCACGTCACGGGGACCACGGCCGGATGGCCTCAGTGAGCTGGGAGCGGCCACCATGGCGGTGGAGCACATCAACCGCAAGCGTTTGCTCCCAGGATACACCCTGGAGCTGGTCACCAATGACACACAGGTGAGTGAGGTGCTAGAGAAGGGTTCGGGTTCGGGCTAGACTCCAGTCGGCGACGTTTTCTTCCATTACGAAATTGAATTTTCATTTAGTGGCGCGTGCAACATTAAAACTTAATAAGAAAAAATCTGCAGCAGCGGCACAGAAGGAGCGAGAACAGCTGCGTCTGTGGCGGTCCTTAAAAAAGGAAAGGAAAAGCGGGAAAGCGGGAAAAAGCGGGGCAAATATGTCATCAACGTTCTCTCCGTCTTCAGGCACTTTTATTGCGCTGAGTCGTTGCCGCTTTTGATGGGGCACGCAAATGTACCAAGGCACCAGAAAAAGATACTGAAAGAAAATTGGTCGAAATTAAATCATTTCCAAGATTTAATGAATGAGATTTTTTAGAAAGCAAGAGAAAAGGAAGAGGTCTTAAGTTCTTCTAACAAGAATCTGTTTCTTTTTTATACTTATATACTGTGTGGTACTTCTTAGTTGAACTTATAATTAAAAGAACCAATTTTAAAGCTCGTTTCTAAACTTCCTCCTTTCATTTCACTCAACTTTATACCAGAAATGGCTTCTTTAAGGTCTGAAAACTATTTTATAAGCCTTTATAAGTAGAAAACCAAACTCTAGACGAAGTCAAGGCTTATAAAAACAAAATATAGAAGCCAAAGTGAACGAATTTAAGTTCTTTTTTACTTTGAGGTATTTTCTGCTAATGTTTTTTAAGCAAAAATGAAATCATGAAGAGTTTTACAAAGTTAAAAACATACTTAAGACCTTTGTCTTTTGTTGGCTATTCCCTAAGCTTATAGTTGTCCAGGAACCAAGCTTGTTTTGAATATAAATATATTACTTCTTGATTAAATTTCTTGTATAAACTACACCAAACTAGACTCTCAGTGTACGCGCATATGCACATTTACCACAACAGACAGACAGTCATATCTGAAGCTGGGATCTGTGCTCCTTCTGTGTCTCTATCAAAGTCGACATTTTAAAAATGTTTATTACGCCATCTCGCCGCCTTTTTTTATGGCGTCGAAACGAGTCGGTGAGCAGCGGCCTTTGCCCTCTGCCCTCTGCCCTCTGTATTTTTTTCGCCTTCTGAAAATGCCTTTTCATCAGTGCGATCCTGGAGTGGGCGTAGATCGGTTTTTCCACGCCATTTACACACAGCCCTCGACACGGATGGTGATGCTGCTGGGATCGGCCTGCTCGGAGGTCACCGAGAGTCTGGCCAAGGTGGTTCCATACTGGAACATTGTGCAGGTGAGTCTAGCGACTGATTAAAATGCAAATATCATCCACATCCACATCCTAATCGGCGCAATTTCTCAAAAATCTAATCAACTCACGTGCCACACGCTCGATTAGCATAAATGCGCGGGGGAAGGAATCTCCTGGCACCCCATAAACCTTTTCAACCATAAACATTTCCACAGCCGCAGCAAATTATGAGGTCCACAAATTCACTTAGAAGGTTCTCCAGCTCCTCCTCCTTAATCCCAATTCCAATCCCAATCCAGGACATTTGCATTTAACCTTTGAAGTTTCATTTGGGCAAAGCGTGTGTGTTGAATGATTAGAGGGAGGAGAGGCTGGATTCCTAGGCCGAGGAGGCATGTCTTGCATTTTAAGCAACCTCCAAATACCAAAGATAAATAGATACTCTAACGACTGACTCCTCGATTAAAAGGTTTCCTTTGGATCAACTTCGCCGGCGCTGAGCGACAGGCGGGAATTCCCCTATTTCTATAGGACCGTGGCCCCGGATTCCTCGCACAATCCGGCAAGGATTGCCTTCATCCGAAAGTTTGGCTGGGGCACAGTGACCACCTTCTCGCAGAACGAGGAGGTGCATTCCCTGGCGGTGAACAACCTGGTCACCGAACTGGAGGCGGCCAACATATCCTGCGCCGCCACCATCACCTTTGCGGCCACGGACTTTAAGGAGCAGCTGCTGCTGCTAAGGGTGAGCCAAACTTACAAACCTCAAAAACATAAACCATTAAATATTAATCATAAAACGTATACAACGAAAATTGCCAAAAATTAAAACGATAAACGCAAACTGGGTTATGATTTTATGGCAAAACATAAGTAATTTAGCCGCATTTTTATTTTTCTTTTATTAATTGTAAACTCGAAGAAAAGCTATTAAAGTTTAAGAGCTGTTGAAACCATTTCAAACTGAATTAAATATTATACTTGTTAGTTATTTTTAAATTAATAATGATTAGAACATACCAAACAGTAGCTCTTTTAGACTCATTCAACATAATAAGTATTCTATTTCAAGGGCAGCCTAGGCATTTACTTAAATTTATGTGATTTCCTTTAATTTTATTTATATTCCAGTGATAGGATTATATTTTCCCTTGCTTTCCCTTTATCTTTTTAGTTCTTAAAGTAATTTCCTTGCCAAACAGAGACTCTAGTAAAAAATATAGCATCATTAAGCAAAGAGCAAATCGACAGCCCTGAGCTATAATTTTTTCTTCGAGTGTGTGCTCCTAATCGAAGTCTGACAAAATGACAAATGTGCGTATTTTTGACCTCATCCTTTCCATCTTTCCGCATCGCCACAGGAGACGGACACGCGCATCATCATCGGCAGCTTCTCGCAGGAGCTGGCACCGCAGATCCTGTGCGAGGCCTACAGGCTACGCATGTTTGGGGCGGACTACGCCTGGATCCTGCACGAGAGCATGGGTGCTCCTTGGTGGCCAGACCAGAGGACCGCCTGCTCCAACCATGAGCTGCAGCTGGCCGTGGAGAATCTCATCGTGGTGTCCACGCACAACAGCATCGTGGGGAACAATGTCAGTTACAGTGGACTGGTGAGTTTCCGGGGTTTGAAAGAATAGATGCACGTAAAGAAAGAAAATGAAGAAATCGATATATTAAATATACCCCAAAAGTCCTTAAAGTCTCGCCATTAAATTGTCTGGTCATATTTCTCTCTCTCTTTAAATTCTCTGACACATAATTGAATCCTCTAAGGATTGTCGGTTTGTTTTTCTCAAGTTTTCTTGCCGTGTTTCTTGTAAACAGACTTGTCTTGTCCTTGTTCCTGTCTGCCTCTGTCCTTCGTCCTTCGTCCTTTCCTCCTTTCTGTGCGCGTCCAGAGTGAAATGATTTATTTGATTAGACAATCCCGAGGCTGCGATTGCGTTTGGCGATGGCTCCAGAGATGGCAATGGTGATTGCCAAGTGGCAAGCCGCCTGTCATCGCATTCGCATTCGGCTCTTTTACGGCTCTTTTAGTGCCTGGTCATGAAATTGTGGGGAGTGAAATCCTGGGTGGGATAGGCAATCTCATTACTGCGGCATTCGTGGTCTGTTTAATCGCATTTCCACTTGGCAGAACAATCACATGTTCAACTCGCAGCTGCGCAAACAGTTTGCCCAAATCCATGGCCAGGATGTGGTCCCCGGATTGGGATCCAGGATCAGTGCAACGCAACGTCGTCGACGTCGAAGAGGAGCAGGGGGAAGCAGCAGCAGCGGAGGAGGAGGAGGAGGAGCAGGAGGAGGTCACCTCTTCCCGGAGGCCATCTCTCAGTATGCACCACAGACCTACGATGCCGTTTGGGCCATTGCCTTGGCCCTGAGAGCCGCCGAGGAGCACTGGCGACGCAATGAGCAAAAGTCGAAGCTGGATGGATTCGATTACACCCGCAGCGACATGGCCTGGGAGTTCCTCCAGCAGCTGGGCAAGCTGCACTTCCTGGGGGTATCGGTGAGTAATTTACAATATTAATTTCTCAATTTTAATTCCTTAAAATCCCTTGCTTTCTTTTGCTTTCCCCTGCAGGGTCCCGTGTCCTTTAGCGGCCCGGATCGCGTGGGCACCACTGCCTTCTATCAGATCCAGCGCGGAATGCTGGAGCCTGTGGCCCTCTACTATCCGGCCACGGATGCCCTGGACTTCCGGTGTCCCCGCTGCCGGCCGGTGAAGTGGCACAGCGGTCAGGTGCCCATTGCCAAGCGAGTGTTCAAGCTGCGGGTGGCCACCATTGCTCCTCTGGCCTTCTACACCATCGCCACGCTCTCCAGTGTGGGAATAGCGCTGGCCATTGCCTTTCTCGCCTTCAATCTGCATTTTCGGAAGCTCAAGTAAGATTGGGGCGGGGAAAGTGAGGAAGGAAAATCAATAAGAATTATGATTTTCATTTGGAAGTTGTTGAAAAGCCCTTAAAGGTTCACTTTGAATACAGAAATATAAAGAGGTTAAGTATTTCTGCGGCTTTAAACCATTAGAAAACAGTATAAACTTTTAATGAATAATAACTTGGATTCATTTCTTTATTTGTTTTCACTTGAATTATAATTTCTTTATTTTTTTGCAGAAATAATAATAAGTTATACAAGTTTCTTTATTAATCATAATTTATTTTCCTTATGTTGTTATTCTTCGCTTTCACTTTAACATGTTCTAACGCATTACAATATTATTTTAATTTATTGCAAAACCTTTAGTTTCCTCTTTACAAACTCTTAAAAGTTAATCACTTACTTTTCAGTTTCTGATTTTTAATTGAACAAATTGATTGACTTCCGAGTGGCTTTTCTCCCCCCTCAGCTTATATATATATATATAGGGATTACTTTGCACTTTCTCTGCATGAAAAACAAGCTTCGTGGGGAGGAGAAAGGAGTGCAGGTTCCTTCTCCTCTTCTCGTTCTCATGACCTTCTCCCATCTCATCCCCACTCCGCAGAGCAATTAAACTTTCCAGCCCCAAGCTGAGCAACATCACCGCAGTGGGCTGCATCTTCGTGTACGCCACCGTCATCCTGCTGGGCCTGGACCACTCGACGCTGCCCTCGGCGGAGGACTCCTTTGCCACAGTCTGCACGGTGAGTGATCCAGCGAAGCGAAGCCGAAGCTCCTTGGCCTCATCCTGCTCCTGCTCCTACTCCTGCTCCTGCTCCTTTGTTTGACTTTGACGGGTTTCTGGTGTGTAAGCAAGCGAGTGTGTGTGTGGGGAGTCCTCATCAAATATGACTTTCAGTTTCTGGCTGGCAACTTTCGAGTCGCTTTCGTTCTCATGTGTTTGCTTTATTTATACACCGCAAGAAAAACATTATTGTTTTGGCTTGAGGGGTGGCTTAGAGTGGGACTTAAGGTCCTTATATTGTATTATTTGTAGGGGGGATTTTCTTCTTTGGGTCGTGAAAAGTGCGCTTTATTGGGGCTTTAAATGAATATTTATCAATTAAATGCTGGCAAAGATATATATAATTAATATAATAATATATATTATAATATATTTAATTTTAATGAGTTTAAAAGAGCCCTAACTAAGACAAATAAGTATTAATTTCACTTTGTAAAGCTCACCTGTTTTAGGCATCTTATGCCTATTCATCTTAAGAATATTCAGTTTAAAAATCTCATAACTTAGCCAAAAAAGCATTCATTTTAATTCGGAAAGCTTTCCTATGCTGGTTTTTACAAGATTAAGAAATCTGCATACTCTCTTAAAATTTTAAAAAAATCAAATTTTTTGGCGTAAATTTTTGACAATTTTTATGATAAAAATTTTTTGAAAAAGTTTTAAAAATTAAATTTTTCTCGGACTTAGCTAGATCAATTCAGATTTTTATTCTGATCAAGAATATATATGATTTACAGAGTCGGAAATGATTCCTTCACTGCATTTTAAGCTTTTGACTGAAAATAGAATTCCCTCAAATTTTAATATTTAACTAAAATTTTATATGATAATTTTATGGAAAAGTGAATCTTAAAAATGCAATAACTAAGCCATTCATAATTCATAATTCATTTCGATTCGGAAAACTTTACTATGTTAGTTTTTACTAGGCTAATAAATCTGCATACTCAATAAAAAGTTGAAAAATTATTATTTTTTGTTATACATTTGTTATACATCAATAAAATGATATACAATTTAAAAAAAAAAATTTTAATTAAATTTTTGCCGGACATAGCTAGATCGATTCAGTTTTCGATGCTGATCAAGAATATATATGATTTATAGGGTCGGAAATTACTTCTTCACAGCTTTATAAGCCTCTGAGTAAAATAAAAATAGAAAAAAATCGTAAATGTGCTATAAATCGATTATTGGAAAAATAATATTCAATTTCATAGGAAAAGGATGTCTAATATTTATTAAATAATAATTGATTTAGAGAAGATCTTTACTTTATTAATAATATATTTTTATTTCAATAATTTGTTGTGCCAAGTGTGTTGTTCTGCTCCCCACCAAAACCCTTCTTGTACTATAAATAGCCAAAGGTTTTTTGGCTGCAAATCCTGATGCTGTTGGTCTTTAAGCTAGAAGCCAAGTTGAGAGTTTGACGAGCTTTCCAACCAGATCTGCTCATGTCCCTGCCCCTGCCCCTTTCCCCTGCTCCCTCCTCTGTGGTGCCTCCCTTAAACGCCACTCTTGGGAAATCTGCTGGTCGCTGTTTCTGTTTCAGTTCCTGTTCCGCTTTTCCTTGTTTCCAGTTTGTTTTTTGTTATTGTTGAGGAGACTCTCCTTGTCCTCGTGTTGAACCCACATTTGCCCGAGGCAAGTGAAGAGAAGAGGGGGACGTTGGAAAATGCAAACACATGACACGGAAATTTACAACTTTTGTGATATTCCTTTATTTGCATAAATTTGAAACGCACAACAGACACAAGAACAAAGTATGGTTGCTTCCACCAGGATTGTGGTCCATTGATGACTTGTTTCCCTTGTCTGCAGGCCTTGTTTTCCTTGGGTCTGCTTGACATGACACTTGCCGTGTTACAGGCTCCTCCTGGTCCTCCTCCTCCTGGTCCTCTTCTAACCTCCACCTCATCCTCTTATCATTCTAACCGCAGGCACGCGTCTATCTGCTCTCCGCTGGATTCTCGCTGGCCTTCGGTTCGATGTTCGCCAAGACGTACAGAGTGCACAGGATCTTCACCCGCACTGGCAGCGTTTTCAAGGACAAGATGCTGCAGGATATTCAGCTAATCCTGCTCGTTGGGGGCCTGCTCCTGGTGGATGCCCTGCTGGTGACACTCTGGGTGGTCACCGATCCCATGGAGCGGCATCTCCACAATCTGACGCTGGAGATAAGCGCCATCGACCGGAGTGTGGTGTATCAACCTCAGGTCAGTCAAGTGAAGGAAGTGTGAAAAAACTTGCATATTAAGAATTATCATTGAAAATGCAATTAACAACAAATAAAAAAATAAAAAGCGTTTGCAATAAGATACAAAAATAAGGGAAACGAAAGATATATCTATACATCTATACATATATATAAAGAGCAAAGGTTTGATTTTTTGTTTGTTTGTATAAATTGAATAGGCTCCGAAAGTACTTGGCAGATTTGAAAAATGCTTTCACTGTTGGAAAGCTACATCATTCCTGAGTGACATAGGCTATATTTCATTAAAAAAAAAAATAGGCATCCTTACTAAAATTACGATAACGTAATCCAAGGTGTTAAAAAAATATCAAAAAACTACCTTACATCGCGTGCGCTGCGAAAACTATTGATGATAGAACAAAATGATATACTACATTTTTTTAGAACACACCATTATCTACAAAAAATCAGCGGCAGCATATCTCTATCTATCTATCGTAGGATGTTGCTGCACCACGTACGCGGTCCAACTTCATTCCAGTACTTGAAAACCGTTGACGGAGTTCTGAAAGAAACGTATCAAGCTGCTTGCCGTGCTAGAGGATTGTTTGTGGTCATAATTTTATTTTGTCAGCCATCGGAACCATTAAAATTATGGAACATTTTCAAAGACGATTTATGTGAAGATATTAGACACAGAATAAGACAGCAAAATCAAGACATCACCTTACCATACAATGAGGACATTTATGACGAAGGTTTGATACAAATAGAAAATAAACTGTTGCAATTAAATGAAAAAAAAGCCTAAGTGATTTCGGATTACCATCATCAGTCCGTACAGAAAGCAATGCAGCAGAGATACAAATAATTTGACCGCTTTTATCAATGAAAACCTGCAAAAGTTAGTTCCAGATCAAATACATGCTTTTGAAACTATAGTCGATAGCGTCATTCATAACAAAAGAAAAGTTTCTATTTGGATGCACCTGATAGTGATAAATAAATATAAACATATTAAAATAGATATAATTAAATAAAAATAGATTCTGAAGAGGTTCTGGACCAAGACGAATCCATTAAATACGACAGCATATTTAAAAACAGCATATTTAAATTAAAATTATTAAATTGCACAAGAAAGGATGCGTTGACTTGCCTACATAATCTTGGAGGTAAAAATAATTAAATAAACAAACATTTTTTAAGTAAAAAATAAAATAAAAATATATAGCACTCTTTTTGTTTTGCTGAATAATTAGCATCTTTCAAATAAAAATTATTATGGTGCTCCGGAAGTTATGGATAGGGAATCATAAATCTAATTCCAATATCTTGAAGAAATTCTGGACGATGAGGAATACATAGGTGAAAATATTTTGCAAAGAATCGTAAAAAATAAAATTATCATATATCCCTTGGACCTTCCATGAAGGAAAATTTATTAAACATTAACTAAACTCCCTGCCACTTGTTACACCCATCTTCATCTTCACTAATTCTTAATTTTGTTATTTTCCATTGAACTCCTCCGCTCACTATTGTATAATATGCTTCACTACAGTAACGTACAATAATAAATTCAGCTCAAAAAAAAAAATCTTTCAAATAAAAATTATTACGGTGCTCAGGAAGTTATGGATAGGGAATCATAAATCTAATTCCAATATCTTGAAGAAATTCTGGACGATGAGGAATACATAGGTGAAAATATTTTGCAAAGAATCTTAAAAAATAAAATTAACATATATCTTTTGAATTAAATTTATTATGTTGCCCGAGAAATTGTCTTAAATCGTCTTAAAGAATCATAAAAAATAAAATAAAAATATATAGCAATTCTCTTTTTGTTTTGCTGAATAATTAGTATCTTTCAAATAAAAATTATTAACGTGCTCAGGAAGTTATGGATAGGGAATATCTAAAATCGAATCCCAATATTATATTTCTTAAGGAATCATAAAAAATAAAATTAAAATATAAAGCAATTCTCTTTAGCTTTGCTAAAGAAGTAGTATCTTTTAAATTAAATTTTCTATGGGTCATATGGCTACTGGCTCAATAACCGATGTTTCAGAAATTTTTGAAGGTAATTCCAGAAATTATCGAGGAAAACAAAAAATAAAATTCAGTATATATATAAAATAACAAAGTTCGGTATAAAGATAAAACAACCAGTAAAAAGGCACAAAAATAAATTAAAATAAAATAAATCACAAAATAAATAGGAAGAGTTTGTGAAAATAAAATGATGTTTTCGCTTCGAAGTCAGCGGACTGAATGAAAAATAAGAATGATTGAATTTATCAAGTTGAAAATCGAAGAGTCCAAAGCCTACTTGATCTGGTTTTTCGATGAATCTAAATTTATTTATCGATGTGGAAAATGTCGTTCTTACAAAGTTGCCATATTCTGCAACTAAATTTAATATTTCAAATGATTTATTGGAACATTTAATATTTTCATTATTAAAGAAAATATCACCGCTATATATCGCTACAATTATTTATTTGCTTCAATCGAGTGTTAATTGAAAAAGCTGTGTATTCCATAAAAAGAAAGCAACACAAAATATAGTGTTGCCATACAATAATTTAATTTAACTTTCCCTTGCTTTATTATTTATTCAATTAAATTTGATTTCGATGTGAATGCACTTTTTAATACAGTGTATTTTTGTTAGTTAAATAGAAATGGGAAATTCGGAACGCTTGGATTGAGTACAAACAAATAGAAAATAAGCTTTCGTTTGTTCGGTCTTTTTGAATGCAAACACATGAAAAATATATACTATAAATTAAATATTATTTTCATATTATTTATGTATGTACAAAACGATTGTTGTTCTATACAAAAACAACTGAATGTGGGAATTATTATTCAGGCAGGAATTCTAATTGGGGTCATTTTTTAAATCTCCTCCAGGTGGAAGTCTGTCGGTCGCAGCACACCCAAACCTGGCTGAGTGTCCTTTACGCCTACAAGGGCCTCCTGCTCGTGGTGGGCGTGTACATGGCCTGGGAGACGCGCCACGTCAAGATCCCCGCCCTGAATGACTCACAGTACATTGGTGTCTCCGTCTACAGTGTGGTCATCACCAGTGCCATTGTCGTGGTCCTGGCCAACCTGATCTCGGAGCGGGTGACTCTGGCCTTTATCACCATTACGGCCCTGATCCTGACCAGCACCACGGCGACGCTCTGCCTGCTCTTTATACCCAAGCTCCATGACATTTGGGCGAGAAGTGAGTTTGGATTTTGAACATGTTTAATAATTTATGAGTTTATGAGTTAATCATCTTAAAACCATAATTAATCCCCTGCTTTGCCCTTCCCTTTTCTCTCTTCCTAGACGACATCATTGATCCTGTGATCCATAGCATGGGCCTGAAGATGGAGTGCAACACACGACGCTTCGTCGTGGACGATCGCCGGGAGTTGCAGTATCGCGTAGAGGTCCAGAATAGGGTCTACAAGAAGGAGATTCAAGCCTTGGATGCGGAAATCCGGAAACTAGAACGTCTGCTGGAGTCTGGACTGGCCACCTCCACCACGACCTCGTCCTCCACCTCACTGCTGACCGGAGGACACCTCAAGCCGGAATTGACAGTGACCACGCAGATTCCCTTGCCCAGCAAATCGCGAACGCCCAGCATTTCGGGCATCCTTCCAAATCTGTTGCTCTCCGTGCTGCCACCGGTGATTCCCCGGGCCAGCTGGCCCTCGGCGGAGTACATGCAGATCCCGATGCGTCGCTCGGTGACCTTTGCCTCGCAGCCGCAGCTGGAAGAGGCCTGCCTGCCCGCCCAGGATCTGATCAATCTCCGGCTGGCCCACCAACAGGCCACAGAGGCCTCCAAAACGGGTCTCATTAACCGGCTGCGGGGCATCTTCTCGCGCACCACCTCCAGCAACAAGGGCTCCACGGCCAGTTTGGCCGATCAGCAGCAGAAGGGCCTGAAGGCCGCCTTCAAGTCGCACATGGGTCTGTTCACCCGCCTGATTCCCTCCTCGCAGACCGCCTCCTGCAATGCCATTTACAATGCCCCCATCCAGGGCAGCGGCTCCGAGGTGACTCCCCTGGACTCTGCCCACTCGAATGGCAGCCATTTGAAGCCCATTCACCGCGGGTCGCTGACCAAGAGCGGCACCCATCTGGATCACCTGGCCAAGGATCCCAATTTCCTGCCCATTCCCACCATTTCGGGGGGAGATCAGACTGTGTCTGGGTCCGTGGACCAGCAGCCGGGAAAGTTTGTAAAGCTGCTGGAGACCAAGGTGAACTTTCAGCTGCCCAGCAATAGGAGGCCATCGGTGGTGCAGCCTGTGCCCAGTTTGAGGGAAAGGGTTAGGGGTTCACCTCGCTTCCCCCACCGCATCCTGCCGCCCACCTGCAGCCTGAGTGCTCTGGCCGAGTCCGAGGATCGTCCCAATGAGGCTAGTCTCTCCATCGTGGGCAGCTGCAAGTCCATACCCAGGATATCGCTGCAGCATGCCACCAGCGGCGGCACCTGGAAGTCCATGGAGACGGCGGCCAAGTCCAGGCTGTCGTTGGGTGACTCCCAGGAGGAGGAGCAGCAGCAGCAGCAGCAGCTGGCGACCGTAAAGGTTGAGGCATTGCCACTAAATGGCCTGGATTAGGTTTAGCGAGCTCCACAAGTCCACATGTCCAAGTCCTCGTCAATTAGAAGCGAAACACCAAGCAATTATCTCCCGCCAGCCCCCAGAGGAACAACTGACCAATCATCAGCTTAAAGCAATCAAACGCATTAGGGTAAATCGCTAGATAAGTCACGATAGGAATACCCCTACTTCTGACCCCCCATCTAGCTGCAGAAATTACACACAGAGAAAAGTTCTTGAAAGAGTAGCAATTGAATTTACCAAGTAAAGTAATCTTAGCGCAAAGTCATCCTCTAGTTATTCGTGTGCGTGTTGAGTCTTTGTATTTAAATATGAAAATAGTTTTTTAAAAACTATCATCAATCAATCAATCAATCAATCAGTATTCCGCTTGAACAGAAATTTTAGGAAAAAGCTCTCGATGCCAAATATAGGATTTCTTATTTAAATATAAATATTTTCCTTAAAGGTTTTGGTATATTTTATAAGTTATTTTTATTTATTCTTGATTTAAGAAGTTTTACTCAAGGTTAAGTCTTTCTATTTATTTAGTTATTTGTTTATGTCTTTAAGGTTATGTCTTTTATGTTTTTCTTGGCAATAAGTACTCTTAAGTTCTATTTTTTCTCTTAGTTAAGTTTTTATTTTAATATAAGACTTTATTAGGATATAATCAAGGTCATTTGAACATAGTTTTAGGACCTAGTCTCTCATGTCTCTCTCTCTTTTTCTCTCTGTGTAGAACCTCCTCTCCGCAATGTGATTGAACCCTGGATCCTAGAGACAAACCCTCTCTCATGTAGGCTAAGTAGATGTTCCAGTTGCTCCCGCCAAGTTGTGATTAAACCGCTAGACCCTGAGTCCCTGAGTCCTTGAGTCCTTGAGTCCTAGAGTCCTTGAGTCCTTCCTAGGCTAAGTAGCTGCATTAGTTGATTTTTCTTTTCTCGTTGTTGTGAGGCCGCAGGACAAACTGTATCCTGCGGTGTATCTCTACAGTGTATCCCAGTGAGCAATACTAAGTAAAGTACTTAAAGTTTAGACTTTAAAAGGAGAAGCAGGAACCAAAGCAAAAACAAAATAAGAAAAAGAAATAGGAGCAAGAACAGATGCCAAAGGAGAAGCAGAATCAGTAGTTGGGTTAGGAGCTCGGGGGCAGTATATGATGATTAATTAACCCCGAAATCATGTGTAGTAGGAGTCCAGAGATGTTAGGGCCAAAGCCAAACACTTGAGAGCTGCTCAAGACTAAGCCATAAGTTTTAGCATTGTAATCCAATTCCACTCCACACTCTCTCTCTCTCTCTCACCTTCATCTTGCTCCTTCTGACCAGGCTAACTTGAATAAACAGAAGAAGTCTAAGCAGAAATGCCAAGCCAAGGATAATGATTAATTAATTAAAGTTGTTTTATTGAGTGGGCAAAGGAAACAACACCATCATTTCCATCTCCATCTCCATCTCAACTTCCAGCTGCAGATACAGATACAAATGTCGGAGGCGTACCAAGAGAAATGACTTTGTACAAAGCCGTGAAATGAGTTGCTTCGCATCCGGAGGATTTCTGCAAACACAAAAAAGGACCCCGAACTAAATAGAGTTCGGTGATTAAGTTGACGCTGCAATTTGTTACCATAAATAAATAAATAAATGAATAAATCGGATGACCGAAAAACGGCGGGCGGTCGCCTGCGACCTAACCTGTACCAGGAGCAGCTCCTTTGTCCTTAGACCTGCACTTTCCCGTCCCGTTTGCTGTGTGTAAATCCTCGTGAGTTTTTGGGTGGCGTGTGAATTTATCTTTATGCTCGTAAAACAAAAAGCACATGAAACGGAATCGGCCAAATAAACAGCGACGACAACGATGTATCTGGGGAGGGACAAGTGCACATAGAGAAATAATTGACAACTACATTGGAATAAAGGAATGCTTGATGAGAATCATTTCTATTTCTATTTCAAGTTAACTATTTTTATTTTCTTTTTATTTTGTTATCTAGATCTTAAGCCTTTAGCAAAATATAAATTAATATCGGCAAATACTCAATTTTTTTGCGTTTTAATTAACTATAAACACTTCTGCAGGATCTAATTACAGAACTTGTATCAATTAATTTAGATTTAAGATGCTACTTTAGCTTATTACAGGATATTTTTAACTTTGATTTCTCCACAAAAAAATATATATGCTTTTGGTGAATGATGAATGAATGACTGAATGATTCCGATACGCTTTTTAAAACTTTATTTTATTATTATTATAGTATTCTTATTATTATATTATATTAAGGATCACTTCTTTTATCAACTTCAAACGAATATTATTTATTTCACGTGTACAAAAATAAACTGACTGAGGGGTATAGATGTGATGGCGACACTCGTTGCCAGAACGAATGAATACGCCAACATTTTTCATGGCTCCATTCAGTGGCTTCCACTTTCCCCCCAGTAACCATTTCCCATTTCCCGTTTTCCGTATTCCATCTCCTTCTCCCTCTTCAGCTCCGAGACTGACGCATCAGGATTTATCCTGGCGCACTTTGTTGCCACTTTTGGTTGACGCTCGGAGGTCTGGGGGGTCTAGAGTCAGGAGTCTGGAGTCTGGGATCTGAGGTCCTGGGATGTGAGGTCCTGGGCCGCGGGTCGTGCTCCGCCGCTTCCGCTCAATAAAACGGAGCTCTGGCTGCCTGTCTTTACATTTGCTTTATTACAGTTGGAGTACCTTTGCCCGAGGGCTGTCACAGCGGCGAAATGTTTATTTATTGCACATATTTGCCACAGCTGCTGTCCCCAGTCCCGGCCATCCTGCATCCCAATTCTGTGGCATCAGAAGATCCCGGACTCCGTCTGCCAGGCGACCGGCGACGACAACATTTTGTGGCGTCGCAAAAGTTGCGCAAATATTAATTTTAATCAAGCTAATTAATATGGTCAAGTCGGAGATGGAGTACAAGTCGGAGGCCATTCAAACGAAATGAATAAAAATGGGTACGTGGTCAGTGGCGATATCAGGATGTATTTCAAAGGGGGAACTCTGGTTTTGTCTGTCAGCCATAAATTGTTACGTCAGCATTCGTTTTGGTGGAAAATGTAGGTCTGCCTTAAATAGTAATATAAAAAAGTAGGAAATATTTAAGCATATGAAGTGGTTTTGATGATATCTGGCAGAATATTTCTCTCTAGAATTTATTTAGTCTTTTAGAGAGGTTTTCAAACCCCTGTTGTCTTCGTCACTGAGCTGCTCATGTCCTTCTTTTTTTGGGGGGAGCATTGACAAATGGCCAGCTGGGTCCAACAGGTTAAACCCACGCACAGCAACCACAAAATAAAATAATAACCAAAAAAGAAAGGAAAAAAGGGCGCACAACACATTGTTGGCTCTGCTGGGGCTTCACCTCGGTTTGGGGTTTTCGATGGAGATTTTGCGGTCGGTTCATTAAAGTCGGGGAGGATGCCTTGGGCACTAAGCCCACTTAATTAGCACCCGCTCCAAAAGGCAATTTACGCATATGACAAAGTGCATTAAGTGAGAGCAGTCGTGGAGGTCTCTGCGGAGCCACGCGCCAATTCCCGCTAATTATTCAGGATTATCAGTGGGGGAAAGCACTTGAATGCATATACATATCTGTAGCAACTACATACACATAAACATATACAACAATGCTCGAGGGGCTACAAGGATTCCCAGGAGTCGGAGGAGGAAGGAGCAGACATATACCTCCAAAAGGACTTGCACTTTATTTACCTTTGGCGTAAAGCGCTCGAGTTTATGCCAGGTCCCCCTGCTCCACTCGATGGCGCCCATAAAACGGCACTAAGTTATTTTCAATCAATAAAAACAACATAAACAAAAAGCAAGCTGTAAAAAATACACTCAAGTGCGCGGGCACACACACACCGCACAAGGGGGGGATGGGATGGAAAGCAGGGAAATGAAAGGAAAACCACTGTGCTCCCAATTTGCCAATAAATTTGCTTGCCATGCACTGTGCCTGTAATTCAAAAGAGGCGAGTGAGCGGCACATAACAAGTTAGGAGAAGCGGCAGGAGAAGCAACAGAAGCCAGCCAAGTCATTGCCGAAATGTGAAAATGTTGGCCAGAAAGTTTTCCCTGCTTTTCCTCCTCCTCGAGGCCTTTTCTTGTGCTTGTGCTTTCTTTCAACTTTTCTTTCTTTGCTTTCGTCGGGGCCACGTAGGCTGCTGTCTGCTGTCGGGATGTCATCGCCTGAAAATGACAAAATATGTTCGTACACACAGGTCTGGGATGGGATGGGATGGGATGTCGTCTCTGGTCTAATCCTCCCCCCTTGATCTCCGCCTGCTTAATCAGGCATAAAAACACCCACGTTAAACATTTTCCGCACTGATGACAATTCGCACTTTTAATTGAGATGTGAGAGCACTGGCAGGAAAGTTGGGAGGAAAAGAAATTTTAGACAATTTAATCAGAATTTAGGAGAATTTTAAGTGGAATATGTTTCAAATATAAACAATACTTGCAATAACTTTTTAACTGCCTTTGGTATCAAAATGATTATAACTCCAAATAAAGGCCTTTAATTTGATTTTAAATACTTTAAAGAATGCTTAAATAAAGAGGAATCTTATAGGTTTCTTTAACATTCTTTAAATATTACCTAAAATGTGTACTACTTGTCCTACTTCCTACTTAAAGAAAGAAATATGAGACAACTTTATCTGAATTTAAGGGAATTTTAAATGGAATGTGTTTAATAAATATAAACATATAACTACATATAACATATTAACTGCTATCAAATAATTATAGCTCCAAATGAAGGCTTTAAGTATTACTTAAATGCTTTGCTTAAATATTCAAGAATCTTAGGTTTTTAATACATTCTTTAAAAAAAATTTTTTAATACTTGCCGTACTTCCTAGTAAAGGAGGGAAATATGAGAAAATTTAATCCGAATTCAGGAGAATTTTATAGGGAATATGTTTAATAAATATAAACAATATTTCGAGTTCGTAAAAAAGGCCAGCAATATTGTTTAACATGACATTTAAAATTGGCTTTGGTATCAAAACAATTTTATCTTTAAGTTTGCTTTAATATACAAGAATCTTATAATCTTATATAAAATATGAGGGAATATGTTTAATAAATATAATCCTATAGGTTTCTTATATATTCTTTAAGTAATATTACAAATTCCCTACTTCTGTCCCCCTTAAAAACAAAAGGCATTTGTTTGCAGTGCCCTTGGGCTTAAAAGAGGTGCCGGGCCATAAGCGCTCTAATTGGTTATCTCGAGGGGATTCCCGGCGACGGGAATTACGCCTGAACAACGTTGGGGAAATGGGAAATGGGAAAGTGGGAAATGGTAAACGAGTAGCGGAAAACGGATTTCTAGACGACTGAGCGGCTGATTGAAAAACTTCAGGGGGGAACCAGGA